TGTATTTAGGACAGCTGACAGACGCATTTGAAGTGAGGACCGAAGTCAGACAAGGTTGCTTACTATCCTCCTTTCATTTTCTTTTGGTGATCGATTGGATTATGAAGACCCCCACATCTGAGGGGCAGCACGGAATACAATGAACATGTTGCATGTAACTAGACTATTTGGAATTCACAGATCAACTAGCCCTTCTATACCATAAACGCGAAAAATGCTGATGAAGACAACTAGTGTAGCAACAGCCTGTGTATCAGTAGGCCTGAACATACACAAAGGAAGAAGAAAGATTCTCAAATATAACACACAGAACACCAACTTAATCTCATTAGATGGAGCAGCTCTGGAAGAGGTGGAATCTTTCACGTAACTGCTTAACATTATCAATGAACGTGGAGGATCTGATGTCTATGTGAAAGTAAGGATTGGTTAGGTGAGTTCAGCATTCCTACACTTGAAGAACACATCGAATTCAATGCAATTATCTGTCAATGAACACCAAAGTGAGAATCTTCAATACGAACGTGAAGATAATTCCACTGTATGGAGCGGAAAATTCGAGAACTACTACAACCGCCATCAAAAATGTTCATGTATTTATAACCAGTTGCCTACACAAGATACTCAATGTCCGTTGACCTGATAGCATTAACAATAGCCCACTGTGGTTTAAAATAAACCAGCCCCCAGCTGTGGAGGAAACTAGGAAAAGACGTTGGAAGTATATTGGAAACACATTGAGGAAATTACCAAACTGCATCAAGAGGCAAGTTCAAACTTGGATTCATGAAGTCAAATAGAAAAAAGATAGATCAAAGAACACACTATACAGGGATTTGGAGGCAGACATGTAAACAATGAATAGCACGTGGAAATAACTGGAAAGGGTTGCCCAGTACAGAGTTGGATGGGGAGTGCTGGTGTGTGACCCATACTCTTCCACGAAAGGTAGTAAGGGTGAACAATAAACAGTATATGGTTTTGAAGATTGTTGAGTTTTAGCTGAGATCAAAGTTAGGTCCATAGTCAACTTCCAACCATTGTGTTCAGCAACATAAATATACATATACTACTGATTTCTCTCTCCTTCATCTAAACAAAAATCCATTAAATATGTGATTATTATACTTTAATACTTTGCATAGTCGTTCCTATCGTCTTAGAAATTATTCATCCACTTTTCAATATATTCGTTTAAAGACTACTTAAATATTCACTAATCCTACATTTTTGAACAGATTGGACAACAAAGATAAAGTTTTGTGAATATATGTAACCACTACTATTATGGTGTTACTACCGGTGTAATGAACATATCTTTGAACGTTATTTATCCGATACATAAACTTGCGTTTCAGTAATTGAAATTGTTGATAGACTATAATTTTAGATTGAAGTGACTTCCAGATGCTTGTCCTCTATCAGCAGTTTATCTTAATTGTACTTAAAAGCAAAAGCGACCGATGGAAAACCATTATGTTGGGCAGATTTTATAGTTCAGATAGTTGAATTTAGTGTTGTGACGGGACTTTCATTTTTTCATCCAAAACAACACCCAAGAATAATTTGATCGACTCTGTAATTAAATAGCGCAGTTCAGAGAACATAGTACAAATAAAACTTTATCTAATTATTATGATTATATGTCAATAAGTGACTGTCAGTTAATGTTTTCCACACATTCCACATGGGACAAGTTATTTTAACGAACTACCTTTACTACTGTCTTAATAATTTGAAATCATTTCATATCAGTCTTAGTAACTTTACTGTTGTGTTAACTGGCTCCAGATTGAATTCTTTTCAACATAAAGTTTATCACTGACGTTCCCCTTTAGGGATCTTTGATGAGAGTTTGTTGATTACAGAACAGTATATTATATTTTGACACTCCTACCATCAATTTGTTTTCACATGAATCCATAATTTGCCTCCAGTTTGGTGCCAAACTATAAGTGGCAGCCTGCTTGAACATTTGGGCTACCTGTTCCTGCTATCTAGATATTTCAACAACTTATCTAATTTTGTTGTTTTAATTCATCATTATGGCTATTAATCGCATAATCTATTCAGGTGTATTTCTGAAAAGTGTACAACCTTTAGCTGCACAAGTTAAAAAGGCCCAATCAGAGATACCGTGGTCGCTGGCAATATCCAGCGAAAAGAATGTACGTTATTTAGATGTTGATTGATTGGACTACTAACTTCTAATTGGAGATCACTAAATATTTGTTGTCATGATCGATCAAGAAGTAAGCAAACGGAAACTTGTTGAAATACATTGTGCTGAGAATTCTATAATGTACCATAAATATGCTCTTGAATAAAGCTTATGATGATAATACTAATCGTTCTTGTATTTGAACAAATCATGTGTACTATAAGTATAAAATAATAAATTCTTTTTACATTGTTCATGTGGTGATAAGTTACCATACGATAAAATGTTAGATGTCATCCCATTTACATATTACACATTTTACTGACATAATGAAACCCATGATGAGTTTTGTTGAACTGCATAAAAGACATATAAATATGATCTACATTGATTAATGCTTTTTCTACATCTTTTAATGTGTTGATTTGCAAACCATTTTGATTGAGCATATTTGTTAGTTAGCAAAATATACTAAAAAAATTGTGAAGAGTCAGATATTGATTTAAACTTAGTCTACGATTATTTGTAGGGTCTCATCACCAAATCAATGTAATTTCTTGTTATATCTCGAACTTAGATTCATAGTATGTCGCGTAATACTTGAGCACTCGAACGCTAGAACCCTGCCAAGTCGCAAAATTAGACTAGTAAGTGGGAATGTTATTCCAAACAGTTTCAAATATAGTACAAAATTCTCATGTATTTATAGTTTTTGGCTGAAAGTAGATCATCATTTCGAACAGCCAATAGGCACATAGGGGCTTATTTATTTATCCAATAGGGGAGCCACATGTCGACATTCTAGAACGTTCCTCTAGTAATGAGTGGATGGAATGTCTTCGGCTCTTTCTGGGTTTCTTAAGGCTTCCTTGAGTTTGCCAACCAGCCATCCTTACATTTTTAACCGGTGATTTTGATGTGACTCAATGTGAACATTATCATTATATTTTTGTTTTGAATTTAAATGTCCTACATTTTTTCAACCATATTGTAATGTAAGAAAGCTCAGTCGAATGAAAAAATTGTATGGTATTTTTGTAAGAAATTTCTCTGATCACCTACCTCCCAGGAAATCTAAAAATATTTGTTACATTATCAAGAGTATAAAACAGAAACAGTGAATTTTCTTGTTCTTAGTAATTTTCAACTAATACTTCAGTTATTTAACAAAAAACAGTTTTGAACATATATGCTTCACAAGAGATAAGTAGTTCTTGTTTTTAGAAGGGGGTTTTGTGGAGATTTTAGTAATTTTTTATAGTTGAAATCATGAGTAAATTGAAGCTAGACCACCATGGGAAACCTAGAAGCACTAGACGACCGTTTCATCTCATTGTGTGACTCTTCAGCATTGCACATTCACGATTCCATCTTGCGAGATTCGAACCTAGGACCTATCGGTCTCTCGCTCTAGCTCTTAATCTCTAGACCACTGAGTTTTACTATTTTTAATCAAACAAAATAAATGTTTAACGTATTTAAGTATGTTTACCGTAAATGTCATCAGTGCTTATTATATTAATATTTAGCAACTGATAAACATCAGGCCTTCAATCATCATCATCATCATTTATATCTAATTAAATCTACAAGGAACTTTAAATCTTAGTACTAATTATCTCGAAATACATCACCAATAGATATTTGCCTTTATGAACGATATCAATAAGTGTGAATCAATATCTTAAACTGAACAATAGTCATTTATACTTAAATTACAGTCCTAAATATATTTATAAGGTATAGATAATTGAAAAAAATGATTGCTAAGATTCAGTTATCATCATAGGGAAATGTCCTTTATAAAAATTGAAAGTTCATTTTACCATTAATTCTTTCTGGTTACCCCTTTTTGGATATTTCATTTACAAGTTACATAGTAAATAGCAATAATTTTGTTTTGGTATGAACTCTTAAAAAAAAACCTTCTTCAGTATAATCTGAAAATAGCCTTAAGTTATTGGTCATATATTACTATGTTCATGATAAATGATGGACGATTTTGGAAAATAAATATATATTCAAACGTACTGATTTTCATAGCTGTACATTTATACTTATAGGAATATATATTAAGATCTAGATCATCAGATAAAGTTAAAAGAGTGATAAAAAATATACGCTACGAACGTACCATGATAAAAGATTATCAAATGTAATAGTAGCAAGAAAAATCTATATCCAAGCTAATCAAGAAGAACGGAATCAAAGTTTCATTGTAGGATAAATATCTAAAAGTCAATAAATACCTGTGATTTCACGCTATAATTATGAACAGTGGAATCCAAGAAATGGGTTTATTATATTTGGTACTCATAAGGTGGATATATCCAAAGAACCAATTTCTATGAAAGGAACAATTATTGATAACCGATATACATACTTTATGTCATATTAATGATGATTAGTAGAATAATAACGACAAGTATGGAAGTATTAGAAAGTAATGGAGTGGTTGAATATTTATATGTGAAAATTTTAGAAGAATAATTTTAAAACACATGGATGCCCACTGCTGAGGAGTCCCATAACAGGACGAGACGGCCGTCCAGGGCTTCCAGGATTTCCCTGGTGGTCTAGCTTCAATTGACTCAAGCTTTCAACATGAAAACACGTTTTTATAGTATAAATATTCATATTAATTGGTTTATCAGCTCACAGTCAAATATATGACTACGTTGATGTATTTTATAACGGAAGATTAACATACACTAATACAGTAGCACTGTTTAACTATTAAGCACCATAGAACCTTATTTAATGGTGTGTTCAAAAGTAATCTTTTTATGAGGCATTATTCGTTATACTTAAAATTTTCATACACTATCCTATATTTTAGATTGATATGAGACGTAAAAAGCACAATAGTGATTCAGAAACTGAGTGTAATGGAGTTCCACTGAATTATTGTAAGTGGAATCTTGTAAATATGTCTAATAATTTTTGTACAACAAAATGTTTGTTAAATTTTGTCTTCTGAACAAGCTAACTCAAGGAAATATATAATTATCCCCAATTAACGGTATAGAATAAATGAAGATATGAAGAAAGCGTATACACAATTACAGAAGTTGATACCTACTGAGTTAATATTGTATTGTTTTGTTGTGACTTTTGTTGTTTGAAGGGATTGACAATAATCTCTGAACTTAAATCTTTTCAATGACTACATTTTTTGTTCTACACCAATGAGTAGAAAAATTGTGTTTCTGGAGTTTCGTGACTAAATGTAATTCACTTCTTCAGAGTGGCTTACATTAGGTTACGAAACGCCAGAAATACAATCTTTCTACTCATTGGGATATAGTGAAAAAATATATACGCATTATTAAATATCGACTAAATGCTCGATTTATTTGAATCTGTCAAGTTCAACCTTGGTATTGTTACCTATAAGCTCATTAAGTCTTATTCGTGGTGGGATTTATCAGTGAGACTGCATTATTAATAATTATCACATTATCTGATGTCACAATTAGTGTCGTCATTAGTAGAATATTTCAGCTGCGACTGAAACTAAACTGACACATACCAAAAAATAAAACAAAATCAAACTGTAAACAGAACAGTGAACTAAACATTAAATTATATCACAATTCAGTTGAAAATTATGGCTGCAAGTTAACATTCAGAATATCTAATTGATAAAAACGAATCATGATTTTGAATAGACGATATTTCCACCAACCAAATGAACTTAATTATGAACTAAATTCAATTAGTATTGCTTGTTTGAATCTTCCCATTGATGTTTTTGGACTGCAATCGGTCAGTCTCTAATCGGCATATGTGCACATTGTGCGTATTGCCTCGATATAGCCTTAATTCACGAGCATTATAAGCAAAGATGGATAGTGGCTAGCAGTGGAGTCCAGTTTGACGCGCGTTTCGTCCTATTTGGGACTCGTCAGCTGGATGTACCTGCATCTCAGAGTTGATGTTCACTCTGTGACTAGAACCCAGTACCTTTCGCTTCAAACTATTCGTTTAAACACGATATAAACTAGACAGATATACTTTAATTCGGCATCTTATCTTTTTGATGGAGTTTTGTTCTTTGAGCTGAATGGTTTGGTCATGGAGCTTTCATCGCTCTTCTGAACCACTTCATCAACACAAACTTTGGGTAGAATTTCAGAGAACAAATCTCCATCAAAATCATCTTTCTGAGCCACATATCTTCTCCACCATCCTATTTTTTTATAAATTGTTGCACGTTAATTAACTTATTATGAATCTCATATATGATTAAGTTCTCCTGAATTTGACCGCAAATAGTATTGTGAGGGTGTACCTATGATAAATTTGAAATAACACTTTTATAACACCGATATTCTTCCCCATTTCAAATAGATTATTTCAACTAATTCTAATTCAAATATAATAGTTTCTTTTACTTGTTTTCCAACTGATAGTGGACATTCTTAAACCAACATTAACAGAGAAACGAGTACAATTTAATTTAAATATACCATGTTCAATTACTCCGAAGGGTTATGCAAAGGTAAGTTAAATTTAAAATTAATTGGTCAGATGAAAAATTTGATTTTTCATATAAATTCATGAAGTTCAATGGCTTGAACTACATCAAAACAGAATATGATAATAATTCAAATTAAATAAACAAATTATCTTATGCCATTGATAATTAGTAAAACAATAATAAATGTATTTAGGTGTTATTCTCAAGTGTACTGTACTGTTTGAGTTGTCACGTGTAAATCTGGATGATGTCTGGTTTTCCTGAAAACCAGTGCTAAATTACCTTGACCAACAAGGGTATATTATATAATTTGGGTGTTATATTTAACCTTTATAAGATTGTAATAATATTACAAGTCATAATTAGATTAGATTGTCGTCTGGTACTTCCAGGTTTTTAATAGTGGTCAAACTTTTATTCATATACGGTATCAATCTAAACAAAATATCAGTGAACTGAATGTGAAAAAAATTCAGTGATTTAAGAGTCTTATATAAATTAGTCAAATTCTTTGAATTCAACTCCTTATAGAACAGTGAGTTTGTACTTGTAAGTAACACATTAAACTAGAAAGAAACTTGTTTTGCGTTGAATGATTTTGAGTCATTCTAACAAATAGAATGGAACAGTTGGTTAGCTAACTTCTGTAGTTAGATGGCACTAAATAGAAGGAAATTTTTACACACCCTGCGTTATAAAATGTTGAATATCTGTAAGATATAGGACACCATTAAACTATTTGATTGCTATTGAAAATGTTTAGTTAGAGATGGTTATTCTAATTACTATATTAATTCAAAGTTAAAAAAGGATCTCAACAAAGAATTTGCAAATTCTAACTTCAAAAAGAGCCTTGATTTTAATCTGCAAAGTTTACTAAAAAAATGATACTCTCACAAATCGTCTATTTAAAACGATGAGGAAAGCTTTTACTACAAACAGATGTCAACTCGAGCTTGTAAGCCATCCCTTCTTTTCTGAGTCTCTAAATGATAAGATTTCCATTTTAGTTATCTCTCTGCACACTCATCTGTTCATCGACTCCTGTAGATAGGGTACTTCGATTATAGTCATTATTCACTTTCAAAATATAAGAGAGCGAATTTCATCACAGAAAATTCGACCCTACAACGTTAAATTGACTTTGATCTTTAATGTTATTCAGAAAAACTGTCCGAATTGCTTAAGATCTCTTTATTTTCAACGCTTCAGAAACTTTAGTCATTCCATAGATGATATCTAAACCAGATATAATTAGAAATTTGTTCATTCTCTTTGATTTTACTCTGACGTACTATAATTATTTCATTTTCCTAATGATTTGTATTTGAAGTCACCACCCATCCTTGAATTATTGTCATATAGCCTTGGTATTATTCACGTCATATCAATTGCTGTATAACCTCAGTAAACCTTTCTAACACATATTTTTAATGAGATTAAAGAAACAGTAAGTTTACTCCACTCACATCATAAAGAAGTGTAAGTCATTTAGCATTATATTCCTTTATTTATCCACATCCTGGATATATTAAGCAGCTTTGATTACTATAGTTTATAATATAAAACATTATTACTATCTTTATGATTACGTTGGAATGCATGTTCTCTGTCCGCATTTCTGACAATTTCCTAATTTGTGTGATTACTATAGTTGACATATAATTCTCGCTTAAACAATAATAATACGAAGTTCAGAGAATGGATCTCTTTTCAACGAATTTAACATCGTGTTGCACAGTCGCATATATCCACGAAATAGCGCCACCGTCCACACTTGTTTTCAGTGAGTCACTGCCTAACGACAGACACGGTTGAACTCCACTGGTCACTGCTTCTCACTAGAACTCCAGGATATACACCATGAAGCCAGCCACTAGTGAGAACATGATGCTTATTTCTAGAAATGGGGTTTTGTGGAGATGGTAGTAATTCAATAATATATATGTTTGGAAAAAATATTTTAGTAGCTGAACTCATGAGTCAATCTAAGCTGAACCACCACTGGAAACCTGGAACCACTGGACGGTCATTTCGTCCCAGTGTGAGACTCCTCAGCAGTACGCATCCATGACCCCCATGCGGGACTCGAACCCAGAACCTTCAGTCTCGCTCCCGAAATGTAAGCCTTTAAACCGCTGAGCTGGGATTCAACGGTGTTAATGTCTCACTTCAGTCGATCCATAGTCTTGTGCAAACATTCATCCATCCATCCACCATTTCAAATTCATCCATTTTAGTTAGAAAAATCAAAAGTACTTTTAAGTGACATAGTTAGTAAAGGAATTCCTACCGAACCATGTAATATAAGTAAATTATATACTTGTCAAACAACATGATGACGCTTGTTTATTTGAGAAATGAGAAAAGTCATATTACGTCAATCGGAATACAAAAGCGGTACGCATAATATGAAAACAATAGCATAATAGTAATTTTAAACTGACTAATTGAGCAGGTACTAATGTCATATTTATTCTAGTCCTTTATAGATGATCATATTCTATTGATCAAGTCACAATCTAGACATTCCTCTATGTAACTCGACTACGTATGCACTATGCCAAAATGTTAAATGGTTTGATTTAGTAAACAAAATTTCCCTGAACTAAGAACAAAGTCAATTATGTATGATAATTAACTCAAGATTGCTGTTATTAGTAGGGGTTTATGTGAGTGAAAACTGATTTCTAATGATTAAAACATTGATAAATTCAAGTAAGCACTTATAAAAGCCTTCATAAACTACAAAAACCAGTATAAGGTCTACCTTGCAGTCGTTCTCAAATGTGTATTTCTATAGATTGGGTGAATGTTTATAATTTGCTTCCACTTAATCATTGAAGTTCAGTCATAATTGTAACTATTTAGGTACAGCCTCAATCAAGCTAAATTATACATCCATATGTATGTGTTCACACATAATAAGATGTGAAGTAATGTTACATATTTTGTTTTGGTTGACGAGGTGACCTTAACTTCATAACAGATGTTTAAAACAAGAACATTTATTTCCGCTCTAAACCTCAGGGTGTTATGGACACGATTGTAGATGTTACAGGCGTAACAAACTTTTTCCATCGCTAGTTAATTTGACAAGATACTTACTCAACATCAATTTTTCGTCTGATAACTCGAGCTCCTCTTCTGTATAATCTATGTATATGAGTTCGATTCCCTTAAACAGATCATTTTGAACTAGGCTGTACAGCAGCCACATAAACTGAGATGATAACCTGTTCATACATTTTTTCGTAGATGGTATGTTTAATTGTTCCATCATTACCTCAGTCAATCATCTGAGTATTCTTCTCATTCTCACAAAATAATTTAAATGTATAGATCACTTATTTCACTAGAATTTAAGTATTGATTGATATGAAATTCACCATAACCTAATCAATCACTTATAACCAACGTCATGTTGTCTTGTCCCTATAACTGGTCAAGTTTCATCAATCAAACTAGAACATGGCCAACAGTTTGTGACTAGATATCATTGCACAAGTTATTCGGTAAGTTGTTCAAGGCTATCGGCAGAAGGTCCTCGCCATAGGTTCTAGGTTATTTGATATTATTTAGTGAAGGGTATGAAATTTATTGGCAGAAATAATGTTCTTTGTTGGATTCTAACCAGCCTCATAAAATGCTATATATCAGAGCTATCACTGAGCTATTCAAACAGCAATACTATATATACAACATAGATTTATTTTAACAAAACATCTATATTTACACTATCCTGACTTCTGATGTGAAATATATGTCAATCCATAACATAAAAACAGGAAGACAAAGTTATTAAAAAAAATTGTTCATCCAATATAGTAATTGCCTGCGAATATTCAATCAGGATCCCTAAATCATTAAGAGGTTATTAGGGCTGTACATGAAAATCGAGGTGATTCTCTCAGGAAGCAAATATCCCAATGGAAACTGATCAACTGCAGTTGTGAATCATAAGAACGAAAAATCATAAACTCTTACTAATATTAACCAACAAATTATCTACTTCTAACTTTTTCTAAATTAATTACTGTTTATCAAAACCACAATTGTAAATGATATTATCGTTTAATTTTGCATTGATTTAGCTGCATGAAAAATTAACTTCACCATGCATCCCTCATTCTAAGGGAAAAGCGGATTCCATGGCTGATCGTGTATACAGACAAATATTTCTCTATTGTACAAACAGTTTGAATGATTTTACTCATTCTTCGAAAAGTGAAACAACATATGCAAGTGTAAGTTTTTTATGGTGAATTCATTTAGTTCAAAATGACGATTTACCTAACTGAAATTATTTAGATAAAAACATATATTCACTTTGGAGGCATACACTTAGACTTTATAGTTGTTTTAATATCAACATACATCGATATAATACACTTTCGACGGCATATCAGACAATATTTATTTTAGGCCATTTCATGTTGTACATACTTGCCCATACTCAATTATTTCAAGTCGACCATGTGGTTTCTGAACAACTATTCTTGTTACATTAGTTATAATGCTGATTTGCACTACAGTAATGCAGTCAGATTCAATCACATGCAATACATACCCATAAATATATATATCAATAATCAATATACCAGGTCACAAAACGTGATTAATCCATATCACCTTGGTATCAGTAGGCTGTTTGAGAATTCTGAGTGGAACAATTAAGTATGTAAACTATTTCACATTTTTAACATGTTTTCGTTGTAACAGGTGAATGTAGAGAAGCCTTGGTTAACGTTTTCTGGCCTACTCACCTACTATACTTTAATGTTTAATAGAGATATATTTTAACATACACTAGTCAATGTAAGTCAATAAACGGGTATGTGACATGATCTTTGAGATTGTGACACATTAATAAACATTCAGTATCGACTGTAAATGAAATATCTGTACCTAGGGAAATCATCTAATGTGCAACGCTTATTTTAGGTTGATAGATCTGGATAAAAATATTAAGTCAGTCGTTAAATTTATATTTAGCTATCGGATGGAGTGTCTGAGCAAAATCCAACACATTAAATATTACCATTTACCTTTCATAGGATTCTGGTTGAAGAAGAATTAGAGTCAAAACCTGGGAGTGCCGACAAATCTATATATATCATAGGTTCAAAAAGTCAATCATTTTAAACCTCGTATACCCAAAAATATATATGCTTTCCGTCTTTTGTCTTTATGCGAGAAAAAATCAGTAGTCGAAGACCTAAGGATGCACGACCGCTAATTGAAAAAAAAACATATTGGAAGTGACCAATGCCCGTAGAATCCATATGTTACAAGAACTTGTCACTAAACAAATAGTAAAGTGTATAACCTTAGTATTATTGATTATTGTATGCTTCTAAGAAGTCCCTCACTAAAACAAAATAATTGCTCAGCCCTCCCTGAAATATAATATACCTAACTGATTTTAGTGATGGAGATCATCTATCACTTAGAGCCTCCACGAAAATAAGTAAATCGCAAATGTAACATAAACACCATCCTTAGCAATATAGTTTTATACTGAAATCTTACATGTAGTTTGTAAGACATAATAAATGGCCGAAATGCGTCCACTGGATTCAGACTTAACTTAATTTTAGTTCTAAGCAAACGTTTCCAACGTTTAATCTTAACTATCTAAATTTTCTTAGGCATCACAATAACTACATCATTTGAAAGCAATTTTTCATTCTATATGTAGCCTACTGCGATGAGGAAATTAAAAATTAGTCAGTATGAAATCATTTCAGCGAAAATGGTAGAAGCACAAGGACTTTATCAAGATCCTGAGTTTCCCGCAAACGATGCTTCAATTGGAAACATGCCACATGTCTCGGGCAGAGTAGAGTGGAAAAGACCCAAAGTATGTTCCTATTTAGCCATTTCTATTTATACCTATTAATATAACTAAACAAACTACAAATTGTATTTTACCTATGTGATAATCAATTTAAATCAATCTGACCCAAGTTATTTATATTCACTTAACTACTAACTAATGATAGTTGAAATTTCTTGATAGGTTCGTAGTCTATCAAAAATTCAACAATCAGTCTACACATTCAGCTGTTTTTCATAACTCTAAATCATACTGTATTCCATAGGCAGCTTCGTGAGATTTGATTTTATACCCAAAGTGTTAAGGCGCTATAAGTAGACAACAAATCAGAAATTGACAAAGATTAAAGGCCATTCCTATGTTTAGTCTTATTCCCATCATAATGAATTAATTTATCGGTTCATGATCACAACTAAAACTCAAAATTCTCCAAAACCTTATACAGATAATTATCATGTACTCACTAGTGACTAACTTCAGAAAGTAATTCTCGGACTTCTAGTAAGAAGCCTTCACCAGTGGAATTTAACCATGTCGGATATGAGGCAGTCACTCAAAGAAGCCAATGGAGGCTGGCCGCGTGATATCGTGGACTGGATCAACTTAGACAATAACACCGTTGAAACCCCGCTCACTGATGTAGAGTTCAAGCGTTCGTGCGCGAGATTAAATGTCGTATGTTTTAATCCTACGTACGGTATCATGAATGCACTATAATGAGGAGTCCCATACTAGGACGAAACGGCTTACCAGTGCTTTCAGGTTTCCAATGGTGGTCTAATATTGATTGGTTAATTATCTCAATTAAAACTCAATAAACTCGAAAACCATATACTGTTAATTGCTCACCCATACTACCTCTCGTGGAAGAGTAGAGGTCGCACACCAGCACTCTCCATCCAACTCTGTACTGGGCAATCCTTTCCAGTTATTTCCACGTGCTATTTATTGTTTACATGTCTGCCTCCAAATCCCTGTATAGTGTGTTCTTTGATCTGTCACTTTTCTATTTTCCTCCATGATTCCAAGTTTTAACTAGCCTCGTTATGTAGTTTTGATTGGCACAGTGTGCGTTTTTTATGGGGTTTTGTTCTCTGAGCGGAATGGCTTGGTTTCCACCATCTCGCAATCTGCAACCTATCCATCATCGGTGTTTTCCCCTAATTTATTCTTCAGCTGGCAGTTGGTTTGTTCTCTTCCACAGTGCGTAATAGCTTATTTTATCAGCCCAACGAACATCGGGAATTTCGCGTAGATGATTGTTTCTAAATACTTCGACTTTGTGATCATGGCTGAAGTAGTCCTCCACGTTCCAGCTCCATACAACAGAACTATCCTGAATTTCGCATTGAAGATTCTGGCAATGATATTGGTTAACAGTTGTTTTGAATTCCATATCTTCTAGCCTATTGTTGTAAAAACTGTTGCTACACTGGATGTCTTCACCTACATTTATTTCTGTGTATGGAATAGAAGAGCTAGGTCTCATGTGAAGTCAAAATCTCTCAGTTGCATCCAAGTTATCCATTTTATTCCACGCTTTCTCTTAGATCTGCAGATCTTCAAATTCTAGTCAAGCACTAGAAGAATGAGAAAGGGTGAGAGTGAGAAGCCTTGTCTGACATTGATCTTCACTTGGGATGCAATCCTCCATGCACAATTTTTCAGTGCAGTCGGTCATACGAAGTCCATATGATAACGACAATCTTCTGAAGTGTAGAGTGATGTGGAAAAGGGTTTCATATGATTCTGCTATTCACACTGTGAAACGCGTCATCATAGTAAAGGGCGTTGATGTATAGTGAGAAATTCCATTCAACCGGTTGTTCAACTGTAATCCATATTGTTGCGATTTGGTCTGTGCGCGACCAATACTTACGGATTCCAGCTTGTTGATCTCAATGTTGGACGTCTACTGAATCTTTCATTCAGTTCAATAATACTCTGTTGAAAACGTTTCCTGGTACTGGAAGTAGTGTGATGCCTCTGTAGTTTTCGCTTATATAGAGATTTCCTTATTTCGGTGTTCAGATGAGGTACCCTTCTTTCCAGTCTTTCGGCACTAGTTATTCTTCCCAAATCTTCCTGAATAGAACGTGTCAGATCTTTGCAGCTACTTTTATTTCTGAGTTCATTGCTTCAGCTGGTATGACATCTGATCCAATTGACCTCCCACTCTTCATTTGTCTGATGACTTTCTTGATTTCTTCGATCGTTCAAAAGGTAAGATCTATAAGTAGGTCTGTGTATGCTGATTCGTTGTCTGGTAGGTTCAGTGGAGCTGTTCTATTCAAGAATTACCCAAAGTGTTCTACCCACCTGTTCCTCTGTCCTTGAATCTCAGTGACTGTCTTGTCTTCTTTGTCCTTGACTGGTTGCTCTGGTTTACTAGATCTCCATACTAGTTTCTTCCTTGTATCATATAGTTGTTTCTTACAGTTTCTCTTACAGTTTTATCCGTTATCATTCCTAGGTCTTCTACATATTTCTGCTTGTCAACCTCAATGCTCTTATTAACTTAATTATTTGCCCCATTGTATTCAGCTTGTGCCTTCATTTTCTTTGTTCTTATTCGACTGTTGTTAATTGCTAGTTTCTTGTTCTTCCTTTCTTGAATTTTGTCCAGGGTTCCCATAGATATCCATTCCTTGTGGTGATGCTTCTTAGGACCAAGAACCTCCTGACACGTTGAAGTTAGTGCTTCTTTTATCCTTTTCCAGTTGTCCTCCAAAGTAGTTTCTTGTTCTCTCAGTAGATCCTGTAGAGCCTGGAACCTGTTGTTGAGAATTATCTTTAATTCGTGGAGCTTGTCTGTATCTCGAAGGAAGGCTGTATTGAACCTTTGTAGTGCTGTTTGTCCAGTTGTCCAGTGTTTCTTTAGCTTCAGTATCATCTTGGCCAAAACCAGGTGGTGATCTGAAGCTATGTCAGCTCCTCTCCATGTTCTCACATCTTCCATTGTCCTTCGGAATTTTCGTTCATACAAATATGATCGATCTGGTTTTGTGTAGTGTGATCGATGAAATCTATGTAGCTTTGTGTGTGCGTTTGTGTTGGCATGTAATGCTGCTTATAACCATTTTGTATGAAGCACATAGATCTGTAAATCTGTAACCATTATCGTCTTTTTGTGTTAGTCATTCTGCCTCGTCTCCACGATATCTTTATACCCGGTGTTTTCTATCTCGACTTTGGCGTTTAGGTCTCATATCAGGATGGTCAGGTTGCTTCCTGGTCACTTCTCTACGATCAACTCCAGCCTCTCTTCATTGCTATCCCTGGTGGACGTAAAGCACTGGATAACACTCACACATTTTGTTTGTAAATTATATTCTGTTTGTTACATAAAAAGTTTTTCTTTTAATTTTTAGGATATCAATCCTCTTGCTGCTTTTTGTACAAAATCCTATTCTCGTTTTGATGTTGATCAAGGTGCTCTTGGTAAGATCATTCTTCCTTTTTACTTTTCTTACTTTCAAAAAATCCATAGCTAATTAAATTATTGAATGATGTGACCATTTACACCATTAAATCAAGTGATGACCGACTTTATACCTTTTAAATAGACATCAGTTTCTTATATACTTCAGTCATTGTTTGATAATTAGCCATTCCCAGAAGACACCTTCAAGAAAATGTGGACGAATACATCAAAAAAAGTACTGAAACACGGGACAAACCAGATAAGCTAATACTAATACGTATTTGATAACTTAGAAACGCCTGTCATTATTCGTCTGATATACTTTGTTTCACTTATGGCCATCTGAATACTAACCAGGTCATGAAGTTGTATTTATCCAAGATAAAAATGGTTAAATTATTTATGAAAAATATCAAACTGTGTGAATTTTTATTATTTAAATGTAGAGTAGAGTCTAATTCCATCATTGTTTCTTTATTATATGTAAGGTGACTGTTGGTTCGCTTCGGTTATGGCTACAGTTACGAAATATCCTGCATTGATGAGTAACATTATACCACCAAATCAAACTTTCAAAGGTTCAGGTTATACAGGAGCATTTGTGTTCAATTTTTGGCGTTTTGGAGAGTGGGTGGAAGTTGTAGTTGATGATCGAATACCAGTTGTTAAGGGAACATGTAATCCAGTATTCATTCATTCAACGGATAATAGTGAGTTTTGGTCATGCCTACTGGAAAAAGCATATGCAAAGTAAGTTCAAAGAAGAATACTATCTTGAATATTTGCATTTGAACTACTTATTAGTAGCATAAAATTACGAACAAATAATTCAAAATTAACCTGAAAAATTGTCTCCAATACTGTTTCCTAAAATCATTTTATTCATCGTCCTATACACTATTTCTATTAGCCTCGTTATGGTATTAAGGTAGCTGATTATCCTACACAATCCTAATATATCTACAATATCGTTTTTATGTTGGAACCAAGTGTGATGTTTTTCAACTTCAAAATGATCACAGAGCCAAATACAATTTCGCCTAGTAAATCAGACTTATACACTTTGTATCTGTTCACTTTTTGATGAATAATATGAAATGGATGACATTGGTTATCATTATCTATTTGTAATTCATGAATCACCTGCACTCTTAAATCACAGTTTGCTACATATGATGAAGGAATTTATTAGCGAAATTTAGATATTCTCTATAAATGATGGTATGAAATATATTTAATAGCAATTACGATGGTGGAGAAGATTTGTAACTCAGGTGTATGATTTTGATGGAGTTTTTTTCTCTGAGCTAAAAGTTTCACGAACAAATCATTCAGCACAGTGAACACTCTATCAGGAACAATGTTAATGTTTATTTACTATTCAGAATAATTGACAGATGAAGTATTCTTATAGAGTTGAGATCATCAGTCAATTGAAGCTAGACTACCATCAAAAACCTGGGAGCACTGGACGGGACTGCGGGACTCCTCTGCAGTGTGCATCCACTATCCCGCCTCGCGCGATTCGAACACAGGACTTATCAGTCTTAACCGATAGACCACTGAGCCGGCATCCAAAGGTCGTCCGGTGCTTCCAGGTTTTCGAGAGTGTTCTAGCTTCAATTAACTCATGAACTCAACTCTATAAAATTGCCGAAATCCCCACAAAACCCCTTCTGAAGATGAAGTATTTAACAAATGACTTTTGCATATATGGTGTTTAAGAGATAAAATATTACTTCTGAAATTGTCTTTCTTAACAAAATATTATTTTAAAGCGATAGTATTATTTTAACAGTTGAAATCATGATTCGATCTTAACTAGACCACCAAGGTATATAAACAATGAAGATCAACAGGCAATTTTATAAAATGTGATCTAATAGCTTAACAAAACACTTAGATTGCATAATTAAAGGCTATGTACAATGTTCTTCCTTATACAACAAGGTATGATAAAACTAGCTTACAATGAGGAGAATGAAACAACCGAACTTTAATATTTGCTCAACATGCTAGACAATGCGTAAAAAATCCACTTTGGACTGTTAGGAAACGCAGTAGTTAAAAACTATAGTTATCATATATTGCAACAAATGAATAGAATATCGTAATAAGGTATTAGGGCATTATAGCATGAAAGTTTACTCTGCATAACTGATATTATCCAGTCGGTCTAAGCGGAATTTTGTAAATGAAATCAAATAAAGTAATTGAAGTACTTTTCACGAATTAGATTCATTAAGACATTTAGAATAAACATATATTAAAAAAGTGAAAGGAATTTCCATAACTTTAGAAAACTTTAAACAGTATTAAAATTCTTGTAAATTAAGGCTATATTGAAGCAATACGCACAGTATGCACGTATGTCAATAAGAGACTGACCAGTTGCAGTCCTAAAAACATCAATGGGAAAATTCGAACAAACAATACTAAATGAATTTAAACTTCACCCCATTGCACAAGCAAGTGGCTATCAGGACTCAGTAACTAGGTGGATAACGTGATGGCGTTTGAAGCGAAAGTTACTGAGTTCGAGTTCCAAAGTGAACATCAACTCTTAGACGCAAGTACATCCAACTGACGAGTCCCAAATCGAACGAAACGCGCTTCGTGGATTCCACTGCTAGCCACTATCCATCTTTGAGTATTAAAATAGATTGATAATATTATGGAATTCAATAGAAACTCGGAAAACTGATGAAGCCTTAAGTATGCGAAAGAGTTTACCTTTCTAAATAAGTGCATATATTTAATATATGTATGCATATATGTAATTAATATAGATATAAAGCCTGTTAGCTTCATTAAAAAAGACGGTATTAGTTAATAAATAATGCATAGGACTTTACCACTTCTATATACATGCTAGACATTATTACTATCCACAATTAAGTACATTTTTAAATATACATGTTCCCTATACTCTTCTATTAACATATTGTTTCACACAACTTGTGTTTAGTTCAAGACTACCTTAATCTGTGTACACATTATATTTATATGATTAGTGAGTATTAATAGAATGGTTAATTATTATATTTGTGGTTGTATTAAATTACCATAGTTCAATCTTGATTGCATAATTAAACACGAATACACTGTACGATTAACTCCGAGATTTACCTAACACAAAAAATACTAAATGAAGTTAAAGGATATAGTTCATGTTTGCTATATTTTGTATAATACTTATCAAGGACTGATTACAGACGATTTGACAATAAATTTGAATTTATCTTGTTTTCAACCATTACTTCATTGAGTTTATCATAAATTATTCCCTCAATAATTAATTTTTATCTAGGCACTGTAGTTCATTAAAAAGCATAAACTGATATTGAGATGGTGAAGATTCGTAGTTCAGGTGGATGATTTTTGTGAAATTTTGTTCCTTGAACTTGATGGTTTGATAGAAAAGAAGTCTTTGTGATGATGATGTCGTTCAGGAGAACAATGAAAGCTCCACAATCAAACCATACAGCTCAAAGTACAAAACTCTAACATAAATTGATAGTGTGATGTTAGGTGTACCAGTTGTGATAATATCAACAAAAGCCTTCTATGTTTCATGAAAGGAAGTTATCTTAAAAATGTGTGGAAAAGATAGACATTGAAATAGTAATCACATAATGGCAATAGAAATTACGTAACGAGAAGTGTTCAAATAATCAGACAATGAATAATAGTAGTATTTTATCCTTTATTATTCCTTATGAGGTTCAATGTCATCTACATATGACGGAAGTTATAACGATTCGTGCTACAAATCATCAGAAATTTGTAACACCCTTATCTCTCCTTTAGTCAAATTAAACTGAATAAAAATTTTTACCCAGTATTATTTTCTACATAATTTGTTCCTTGGACCCCTTATTACAAATTGTGAAATATTCAAGCTTTTTGTTACTCTTATCACAACTAGAACATATTCTAATTATTGTATTTACCTGTGTAATCTAATGGGACCTTCATCAAACTATATGATACATACTAGCTTAATAAATTTCGGATCTGCTTGAATGATTAAAACTTTAAAACAAAAAGTCAATCTAGACAAAACGGTAGTTCAGATTAAAGTAGATAATAGGGAACGATATTAAATCACAATACTATGGATTGCATATTTGAATGTTTTATAAAGTCAAAATAAAGATCATAATGTGTTGATAAGAAGTACTTTGAATTCCGTACATTTACACTAATTTTATGGGTAAAATGTTTTACAATAGTGGTATTATGGAAAACATATATCAAATAATTCAGTTTGTTGATGAGGAAGAACTTAAATTGATTCTTATGATCGTACAAGTTCATTTTATTCATGAAATAAATAACTGTGATAGATTATAACAGGTTTATATATTTTCACAATTAAAATCACATGCCAATCCAAGCTAGACCAAGTTAGAAACTGTGAAGCACAAGATGGCTGTTTCGTCTTAGTATGGTATTCCTCAGAAGTGCACATTTACAATCAAGACAAGGATATACATAAATATATTTTATGATATCCAGATGGGTAGAAAATTGTTTTTCTGACGTTTCGTAACTTACTGTTAACCTTTTCTTCAGAGTAAATTATTAACCGAAATGAAATTATTACAAGTTTAAGTAGTACGAAGGAAACAATGCAGGGCATTTTTAGTACATTCAAAATCATATTAGACCTGAACATTTTTATTTATTTATTTATATATACCCTTGATTGAAAATTAACGCACTTAATAATTTCATAGCCTTTCCAGCCCTGACCAGGTGGTCATGATATCCTTCTTCCTAAAGTTTATTATGTAAATTTAGACACAGTGGTGAGTTATATCAAGGTCAGTCATGTTTAACGCTGAAAATTAACTCATCTAATTTGAGGAACCGACTAATGAGACTTGATGATCTCCCAGATAATTTATTATGTTTTACCTTTCCACCAACCTCACCAAGTAAAAACTTGATGAGGTTGTAAATCTTCATCGACTATGGTGATTGGGATATGTATTACATGTGCCGAACAACGCACGATAACATATTGTTTTAGAATAGGAAGAAAAAAAGCTATATTTGACCAAACCAAAATCAATCTCCAGTTCATGAAATCATTAGCGGTTAATCTCAGTCATGTTCATAGATGTTTACTACTTGGTTAGGGCCAGGCGCAACAACCGTAACTAGTTGTTGGAGACGCTGAAAGAAATTTCAAAATCAGTCACAATGATGTAAATTTATTTATTCTTTATCTTTCTCTAGAACATAAGTTTCAATATTTCTTCACAAATACCCTTTTCTTCAATTTTTATAGTACATACTCCCAAACTTAAGTCTTTTTCACCATTACTACCTTATTTCGACTCCTTAGCTAGTCATCTCATTAATTTCATTTTGTCGTGACTATTTGGTCTGACAACTTGGGCTGACGTATTGCTTTTTCGAGCTCTATTTTGACGATAAAGCCATGGAATTTCAAAAGTTACAAGCATACCTCCCAAAGGAAGGTCAACATATAGAAGATATTAATTTATGTTTACACATCTGCTTTTTATGTCAATTGGAACTGTCAATACAGTATTGTGTTAAGTGTGCCTACTTACCATTCAAATGAAATTCCATATTGTTTGTTATTTAACCTTAAAATTTTCTAATGCTTTGGAAACATTTTTTTCTCTCATTCCTATACAGATTATGCGGTAGCTATGCACATCTAACTGGTGGATTTCAAAGTGAAGCAATGGAGGACTTTACTGGTGGAATATGTACTACTCTTATTTTGAATAAAAAAGAACGCCCACCAAACTTATTAAAAATGATGGAACACTACACAAAAACATGTTGTGTAATGGGTGCTGATGTTGGTGTTAGTTATTCTTTTGGGTAACTTTAAATAAGTCTGTAGCCGTCTTTTGACATCGGTTAGATGAATTTTTATTGAAGTATTTGCAATTTAGGTCCTTGAAACAATTTAAGTGTATCTGCTAAATTATTCTTCTTGGGAGTTTTGATAAGATGACCACTGAACCACATTAAATTACTATTTTCCAATAACTTATGTTCTGATAGGAAATTCCAGTAGTATATAACTTGATGTGAGAAATGAAACTTTAGATGCAAACGACTCAGTCTTGCCTTTGAACTTTCTGAAAATCCACTATTAGATGATCTGTTATAGATATATGAAAAGTAAACGGCAAGTTATTATCAGATCGCCTCGAAACCTATATCGGGTTGGGAAGATCTTCGGCAGTGAACCTGTTCTGGTATATCCTCTTCATGTTTGAAACATGAACCTATTACCTGGACTTAATGTTCTAAATTATACCTCATATAAGTCGGGTAGAATATCCAGAAAATATCTTCATCCAAGTGCCGAAACGCTTCACGAATTACACACAAGATCTGGAAGCCTGTACCAGCTGTCCACTGTGGTTCTGAGATCATCACTTACTATGACTCCCAAATACTCATAATCAATAAAAGAAGGTGAAACCATTTCATTTATTGTGAAGTTGTGTAACTTGTCACGACTTTTCATTCGTAAAACAACATTTTGCTAGAATTCGTCTCTAACGACCATCTATCCCCCCCTTTATTCAAAAAGTCCAAATCTCTCTGTAATCCCTAATGATTACTATGAATGAGTATCTACACTTTAGTTTCGCTCATAAATAACATTTTCACTCTCAATATATCATTTACATAAAGAGAAAAAGAAGACAACCTATAATTGTCCCTTGAAGAACTCTACCTTTCACAGATCCTTATATAACTGAAACAGTCATCATTCCTATCTCCAGCCCTACAGTCGACAACAAAACCGATCTTTATTCTAAGACCCATATGAGAATCATTTTTGAGTGGTTGGTTGATTCCTATAAAATGTACATTCACCGGAATATTTTTATCTTTTGCTGCAATCCCCTCTTGTATTTGGTTTATTTTAGGGAGATAAAAATAAAAGACGCGAAGAACTGGGACTGATTGGTTCTCACGCTTATAGTGTAACTGGGGTTGGAAAAGTAAGTTATCTTATAGTTACTCATCATAAAAAATGTGATTGGCAGTTATATTTCTATATGTAAACTTTGTCTGTAATCAAATTTTATCATGAAAGACACCTTAAAGGAAGCGTATACAAATTATTTTATGCCAACTGTATAACTAAAGCACAAAAATCGTTAATCAGCCTAATCTCTGTTTTAAGTAAATATAACCAAAAAATTAAGCGAGTAATGATACACAAACTTTAAAGTTTAGAGGACACAACAACGCCAAAAGCAATCACGTGAGTTAAAACCCTTTTCAATCATCAAGTCTAGTAGTACACAGTCCCGTAACTATCAAGAATGAACAATAAGTTTATGTATTTAGTTCTTGATTTCTTTTAGTTTTTTAATTTATCGCTCTCTCTGAAGTAGATCATACATTGTTTAGTGTACAAAGAAAAACTGGAGATTTAGGTCTACATTAAGCCTCAACCTTTTAAATGATCGATTTACAAGTATTTACACTAATTATGCTGATACTCATGAAATACCCAAGTATTGAATTTATTATTGTACTTCTTAATTAATAAAAGTTATCAAGGAGTAAACAGCTTTTTATTTGAAACTTATTTAGTCTACTTTTTTTGTCATAGTCGAATGATTAATAATAATTGCAGTCAATTATGAACTGCTACGTTACATGAATGTAGCATGTAAACTATCTTATTTCTTACTGTTTATTTATAATATATTAAAGGTTAATTATATGGGTAAAGATGTACATTTAGTACGTTGTCGTAATCCTTGGGGAGAAAGACATGAATGGAAAGGACCTTGGTCAGATAATTCACCTGAATGGAAAGATGTTAAATCTAAAGATAAAAGAGCATTACAATATAAACCAAAAGAAGATGGAGAATTCTGGTAATATATATTTATTGAATGAACTTATCTAAAAAAAATTTATTCACCATATTTATATTTTTCGGGCTTTTATTAATTCCATAGTTGAAATACTGAGTCAATTGAAGTTAGACCACTATGGAAAACTTGGAAGCACTGGACGGCCGTTTAGTCCTATTATGGGACTCCTCAGAAGTATGCATCCACGATCTCGCCTCGCGACATTCCAACCCAGGACCTATCAGCCTCGCTCCAGAGCACTTAACCTCTAGATCACTGACCCGGTATCCAACAGTATTAATGTCTATCTTCTATTAATCCACGAAATTGAGGAACCCATTCACCATTGTCTTCAGTGAGTTGATATCTCACAACAGACTTGGTTGAACTCTACTGGTCACTGTTTCTCACTAGAACTCCAGGAAATATCTCTAATCGTTTTTCAGTAATTTGTAACAGTCAGGTATCAGATTCTTAGTGAATTTAATGAACTACAAAGATTATACCAATTTAAGTGAAGATTTGAATATATATGTTTCTTAATGTTATATCAGTACAAAATAAACATCCAGAAAATATTCATTTAAAAGCTTAATTCCTGAAATAAATATTAAAGTTTTTATAGACTTGCCAAATCAACTTTAGTAAAAAAATGTTACAAAGTGATTTATATGATGATAATAAACTTCATTACTTTTATATTGAGTTGTACTTGTAAACAACATGAACACTTACTTACGCCTGTTACTCCTCGTGGTGGATAATAGGCCGCCTATTAGCATTCTCCATCCAACTCTGTCCTGAGCCTTCCTTTCCAGTTCTTTCCACTTAACATTCATTCTTTTCATATCTGCTTCCATCTCCCGACGTAATGTGCTCTTTGGCCTTCCTCTCTTTCGCTTCCCCTCACAATTCCAAGTTAGGGCTTGCCTCGTGATGCAGTTTGGTGATTTCCTCAATGTATGTCCTTTCCACTCCCAACGTCTTTTCCTAATTTTCTCTTCAGATGGAAGCTGATCTGTCCTCTCCCATAAAAAGCTGTTGCTGATAGTATCCAGTCAGTGAATGTTGAGTATTTCGCGTTGACAACTTTTTATAAACATTTGTACCTTTTGACGATGGATGAAGTAGTTCTCCACGTTTCAGCCCCCTACAGTAAAACTAACTGTCTTGACGTTCGTATTGAAGATTCTCAGTTTGAAGTTAGTTGAGAGTTGCTTGGAGTCCCATATGTTGTTCAGTTATAGGAATGCGGTCCTTCTTTATTAAGTATCACAACTTTATAGTTTTTTTGTCTTTGATTTCAATTTAGAAGAAAACTTGTATAGTACCAAACACCATTTGACCGTTTAATAGAATTACAGATTTACGTACATTCTATCTAATTCTCTTGAATTCTATCGAATGTTTTAATTACAAACTATATTTTTCTATTTGGTAAAGGAGCTAATAATAAGAAATTACTTAACTCATTCTCGATACTCATATAAATGAAAATAGAATATTAATTCAACGTAAGTAGAAACTAGATAATGGATTCACTCCATTATAATTTAATATACATATACAAGTTTGAAGAAGACCTGAAGAAGCAAAAACCTTAGTAATCACTGCAAACGATTGTTGTATTGTATATTGAAAGTTTTGATAACTCTTCGGGTACCTGTAAAAATTCTTTAATATTAAATTACACCACAGTTACAGTTTGATTGTTATAAATCTAAACTAATGAAATCTATCATGGTAAGCAGAGATGGATAGTGGCTAGCAGTGGAATCCAGGACGCACGTTTCGTCCTATTTGGGACTCGTCAGCTGGATGTACCTGCATCTCAGAGTTGATGTTCCAAAGAGTTGATGATCCAAACAAACAATACTAAGTGAATTTAATGAAATCTATAATTTCATTGGTTAAAGTGACCTATCACTTAATTGTTACACAAAACAATTATATGATAACCAGACTATGTCATCTTTAAAACATTTTAATGAAAAAGAATTATTCGACTAAATCAATGTATTTTGGTATTGTTCGAACTCCTCTTTATTGCAGAATTATGTTTTGATTTTATTGAAGGTTATTCTGTAAATTAATTATATGTGTATTACATATTACTGTAGCGAACAAGAACATTAGTGGGGGACAATCGAATGTATTTAAGCACAAATTACAGACTATCACACTAAATGGTGATAACCATACGGCAAACAGTTAATTTGCAAATTAATCGTCTCAATCTTCGCTGTTCCTTCTGTAAATATCAATCCATCTTCTCTAAGCTCATTGCTTATGCATTTTCCTACCGATTGAGCTTCATTTCAGTTCTTTCCTTATCGGTCTTCTGCCAAAATGCATTCTATGTCTGACCATCACCATATACTACTTATGAGGATATGAGTAGACCACACCACATTACTACGTATTTCTAATTATATAATACATGGAACTTATTGATCGAAATGTTAGGAAATAATAGATACAATAAAAGAAAACGAGAGTGACGTTACCAATATACTAACCGAATGAGGTCGAAAATACACATTTGGTGTGATATTGATAGCATTCACTAACCAGAAAACAGCAATCAGTCTGTTAAATATTTCACAGGAGAGATGTATGATCATTATTGAGTATATTTATTTCTTCAAAGTAAGATATTCCTTTCTTGTCAAATGTAGCTTTTAGATGTGAAATATACATTTATACATATATATATAACTTTTGTTTGTGTTATGGCGGTTGAAATACCACCTACATTTTAGGATGTCGTTCCAAGATTTTGAAGACTATTTCAGTCTACTTGAAATATGTCATTTTGGATACTCAAGTTTAGACTGTAAAGATGAAATCGACAAAAAGAAAAGATGTGAAGAAATATGTTTTCTTGGTGAATGGGTTGCAAATGTGAATGCTGGGGGATCACGTGACTACCCAGGTAAGTCTGTTTATACCATCAAACAAATTAGTGCATGGCATAGATAAATAAACATTGTCTGTTTAGCATTCATATTACTATACTTTATTTACTAATATAGCCGAGCCAAGCAATCAAATTCAGTAGTTAACAGTACATATACATATTATCTATATATGAATTCTTCATACATAAAATTCACTTTAAAAACTATTTATTTGACATTAAAACAGAAACCTATTTATCATTAGGTTGTAGAATAAAAGTTAAATAACCAACTTGCTGAAATCTACCTTCAATTTTTTTAAACAGTAGGTTCTAGTTTTATGTAGTCGAGATCATGAATCAATTGAAGCTAGACCACCATGGAAAACCTGAATGCACTGGACGGCCATTTCGTCCTATTGTGGGACTCCTCAGCAGTGCGCATCCACGTCCCACAATAGAACAAAACGATTGTCCAGTGCTTCCAGGTTTTCCATGGTGGTCTGGCTTCAATTGACTCGTGATCTCAACTATATAAAATTAATAAAATCTCCACAAAACCCCCTTCTAATAATAGGTTTTAATTCTTATCACTATAAGTTTGATATTTAACTGCTGGTTATACATAATGATTGTAAACATTTGGTTAGTACGCAGTGTTCCAGGTTATCAATAGAACGAATATCGAAGTTAATAAAAATCTAACAGCCTCATATATGTATTCAACAGATAAAATTCTCAATAATCCTATCAAAAGTAGACTTTTGTAAACATTTTTATCATGATCTGTTTTGTTTCATGAAAAGTAAAAATGATCATTTAATAAAATAATTACATACAATTTTATTGAACAGAATCGTTCTGTACAAATCCACAGTATTTATTTACAATTGGAACTGATAATAGTGGTAAAGTTGGTAAAGCACATATCATCGTAGGAGTTATGCAGGAACACAGAAGATTTTTATATGGCGCAGATTATTTGGCTATAGGTTTTTCAATATATGAAGTAAGTAACAATACAAATTTATAAAATACGCTTCTTGTTGATACTTTCTTTTGCGTCGTAAAAGTTTTAAAAAGATTATTAATAACGGTTAAAGATAATTTGGACTTATCTCCATCAAAACAGCTGACTCTCAAATCATTGGTTAAATAATATGATAGCTGAGAGATCAAGACCTATAGTTATCGTCATTATTATTATTACTATTATTATTATTATTTGATATGTGGTAGTGAAAGCAAAGTACGATTGGTCTTTGAGCGTGGACAAACAGCCACAGCCTACGGACTATTAAATATGTTTCTGATAGAAATCATAAATCGATGAAGGTTAGACCACCATTGAAAACCTGGAAGCACTGGACGGCCGTTTCATCCTAGTACGGGACTCCTCAGCAGTGTGCACCCACGATCCCGCACGCAAGATTCAAAGTTAGACATTAACACCGTTTGATGTTGGCTCATTGGTCTAGAGGTTAAGCATTCGTGCGCGAGAGCGAAGATCCTGTGTTCGAATCCTATACTAGGACGATACGTCCGCTCAGTCTTTCCAGGTTTTTATGGTGGTCTAACATTCATCGATTCATAATCTCAATCAAAAACTTAATAATTTCCACAATCCCACACTGATATTAAGTACGTGGTTATCCTTCCTCTCACTGAACATACTGTGTGTGATCGCTTGTAATTGTATTGCATAAAATACTCTTTCTGGTGTTATTCTTGTTCTCTATTTTGTGGCGCGAATTCTGCTTCTTAGATAACGTGATTAGTGCCATTAACATAATATCGTAATATATGTATAACAAAGGTGAATATCTATAAACTGAAGGATAAACTGTAGAAGAATAAGGTAATTAATTTGCGCTTTGACTGATACCATACTCCTTCTATGTAACCATAACTTTTAAATTCAAGTAGACAACGATCTTTCGTTCGTTTGTACGGCTTGAGTAAACGAAATTTTCTTCGTTGGATTGCTCTTAAATTGACTTCTGTTTTATTTGTTCTTTGTAAAGGATAAATTCCATTTATCTTTATATTAACTTATGATTGTTTACACTAGTTTATTGATAACGATAATAATTCTTATCTTGTTTTTGTTTCACTTTGTTATAATATTTGCTTACATACACATACCTATTAATCAATAAGCTATGACAACAGAACTAGAAATTTATGCAAACCCTTTTTTATCGTTATTACCTTGGTAACATCCCTCTTATTACATATTATCATTTGTCAAATAATGTAATTATAGACTTCTAGCTGTAGAGCCTGAGGATGAAGTTATTGAAAACAATTTTTCGCTGAAATATTCTTCATTTATGCAAATATTTAACTAAAGGTGCTACAAAAACTACTATAAACCCTACTTTATTCTTAGTTCCTGATAATTTTAAATGTATGGGTGAATGACGTCTGCTATCGCAATTAACTTTATACTGACTAATGGATTTGGCATCTCAATTCTAATCAAATAATAACTGAATCTGTTGAAGGTATGGCTCTGAAAAAATATTTATTTGATTTTGTTAAAAAAGAAAAAGAGGGCGACCGGATAGCATCATGCTTAATTGAGGTTTGATGTTTATAATATGTATGATCATCCATAATTATGTTATCATATGATCGAGGATTACTTCTAGTTATTATAAAATATCAACCCGAGTAAGGTTGGATCTCACGGAAGCAAAATCATAAATAACTATTGAAAACAAACAGAGAGCACTAGATAGTTTATTATTCTCTATTCAACATTACTTAACAAACTGTAACACTGACTTAAGGAAAAAAAGCAAGTTTTGTAGCAAACTATTTCATTATTCAGTGAAAACTACTTTTTAAATTATTTCTATGAAGAACAGTTAAAAATTTATTAACTTAGGTATCTGAACTACAAAATACATGTCTCACACCAGAAGAATTATTATGCCGTAAACCATTGTTAACATCAGACTATATTCCAAGACGTGAAGTAACATTAGAAGCTGACCTTTTTCCTGGAACATTTATCTTAATACCATCAACATATAATTCAAATCAAGAAGCCCGATATATTTGTCGAGTATTCTCCACAGTAAAAATGAAACAATTGTAAGTTTCAATTGAATAATTAAAACTAAATGATTAAATTATGTTAACTTAATGTTAAAACTAGTAACATTTATAACAAATCTGATTTGAAAAATATATAAAAAAACCAGAGTTAACTAATGTAGTAAGTCAATCAGAAGTAGCCAAAAAAGGTCAATCAATGACAATCAGAAGTGACCTGAAGGATAAGTGAATTTCATTAGCTAAGAAATGGGTTGACTTCCTAAGGGCTAAGACATGACTTCCGAATTTTAAATAGAGTAAGTGGTTAATCATTAACTCCTTTGGTACCAAAAACAAATTAAACATTTTGATCCTCTTTCTTCTTTTGATTCATCATAATGATGATCTAATGAGTTTAACTGCGGCTTTGGTACCTTGTTTTCTGTACTTGAGTCTTGTCAGATAAATATAATGCATATAATTTTTCATATTTGTAATTGCAAACCATATATTCTAAAATACTTCCAAAACTGATTATATCATGACAGTTCATATTGGATCCATCTATGATCATAGACTACAACTAAAATTTACTCAATAAGGAGAACAATCAAACCATTACTTAAAACCACTAAGTTGACAACTGTGTTTGATCATTAACGTGTTTTTTTATTCATTGTCCACAGTAAACATCAGAATGTGGAAACATTCCTACGCTTGTATAACTATTAAATAAAGTTATTTTGGGTAGTTTTATAATGTTGATTTAGTCTCGTGATATTTGTGACAGAACAACCTCAGTTTAACTACCACTGAGAACTAGTGAATAATAAACCATAGTTTCAAATTGATTCCTCACAGGGAGTACCCATAATCCGACCATGGGTCAAGTGCAGGAACTCTTGATCTTGGGTGAACATCTTAATGTCTACTGACAACATACAGCCGATTAAAGCTTATGCATATCTTGTGGTAACAGTATTTTTATCGATTAATTCACTATTATTTATTATTGGTAAGATATTTTGAGAAACATGCTTACTTTTTGTTTTATTTCAGAGAACTGGATGAGGAGAATTCCTACGAAGGCTTTCCAAAGGTATGTTTACATGTTGTCATATAGTAACGACAGTCTACAACGTAAAAATAACTGTTATTAATGGCTTTATTCAATATTACATTTTTGGTACAATATAGAATTCTCTACATGAAGTATTATTTCTTGATCCACCCTGTAGATTAATATTGAGTGATCGCCAGTTAGATGTTAGCAGTTCAGAAATCGAAATCTGAATAATGTTTATTCTTTTCAATGCATACTACCGGCCACTATGATGTCTCTAACTATGCTTTTTCGTAACTTTTAAAGCGAAATATCGTAAAATTTTCAATAAAGGCGCTTAAATAAGTTGCGCCAATAATAAACATAACAAAAGACAGATAAGTTGTTGAAATATCTAGATGGCTATAACAGGTATCCCAGATATTCAAGCAGGCCGCCTAACAACTATATATTTGCATTAATATTTCACAAAACGTTAGAAGTTTTAAATATGCTCAACATCAAGACTTTTGTGGAAATTATCAGTTGGCGTGTTCTTTTCGAAGTATAACATCACATTCTAAAAATACCAATACTTTTGCTTTCCAGAAATATGTTCACCGAAAAGTTACTGAAGTTTTAATAATGGCATAGCATTTAGTTTTAAGTGTCAAAATTGAACTGTCCTAATAAGACTTGAAATGTGGTTTCTAAGTAGAGTAACACTACAATATAATGCAATTTGTCGCAAACCAATAAGTTGTATAGATAGCAAGCTAACCCCATGATTAAAAACATTTTTCCAGGATACGAAAATTACACCTCTCAATATGTTAAGACCCCTTTTGGTCGAAAGTAATAAGTAACCAGTTAGAGCCTGAATGTGCATATCAAAGTAGGATGTTAATAAATCTAACTGATGAGTACTAAATAGGATAAAACGTAGGTCGCGTGTTTCACTTCAAATCACTTTTCAGATCCGTAAAATATGCTGCTCAATGGCTCATGAACACCTACTATTTATAAAAAATAACTGAGCTAAGTTATGTAAATTCTTAAAATACCCCATAATTAAAATTACCAATCAGTTACTACAATTTTAAAGACGATGCCAAGACTGATAGCAGGTTATAACTAGCTTAATTCACACTAAAGATGTCTGTGTATACAACTAGGTAAAGTATATCATAAATCTCACCAAAAATTATAGATCACTTTCAATCTTGTGTTAAAATTTGAAATGTAATTTATTCACTGAATAACTTCACCTACTTAATGAAAGTAATAGTCATTTAAATTAAAATCAGAAGGGGTATTTTGTCTAGATTTAGTACTTTCATAGTTGAAAGCGTGAGTCAATTGAAGGCAGACCACCAAGGAAAACCTGGAAGCACTGGACAGTCATTTCGTCTTATCGGATGCCGGCTCAGTGGTCTAGAGGTTAAGTGCTCTGGCACGAGACTGACAGGTCCTGGGTTCGAATCTCGCGAGGCGAGGTCATGGGTGCGCACTGCTGAGGAGTCCTACAATATGACGTAACAACCGTTCAGTGTTTCCAGGTTTTCCTTGGTAGTCTAGCTTCAATTGACTCACGCTTTCAACTATGAAAATTTAAATAGCCATCTAAACTATTTGACTAAACAATGTTAATTGAAATATTTTCATAGTAGCATTAGTTTAACCTTCTTTATCGCCTGGTTTTCATTAGTTCTTCAGATGATATTAGTTCATTATGAGACATATTACAAACTGAAATATTATTTTTAAAAAGTTAAGATAATAATTATATTTCATTATAAATGTGAAAAATACTATCCATTACCAATTATTGTTATTCATTAAAACTTTTAGTCAACAATGGATGCTCTTCAAAGTATGATGTTAGTAAGTTCAACAATGTTTTCATTGATTTGATCCATTTTAATTGAAATTTCGAGTCTAGTAATCGATAAGTTTGTACATTTAATAATAGAAAATTTGCGTTAGCCATAGATATCACTGGATGATACACTTTCCTCATATCTTAACAGGAATCGACCCAGCAACACATGGTCATCGTGTTTATTGACTTAATATCTTGGATCGTAGTACTTAATATTGTGTCGAGAAAAATTGCCTCGTCATAATTATCTGTTGACTGGCACTTAATACGATAGAATCCGTGGGACCTTCATGATATTACTTTCTACCTGAGAGATTTTAAGATTATTTCAGTAACATACTGAATTAAGTACTAATTAAATTATATCGCTAGTTATCGGTTTATTTTAGTTCTTGGTTATAAAAACAAATGCCTACTTCTTGATAGGCTCAGACTTGCAAATCTATTGATCATCGACTACATTGAATACTATATTATTATGAATGCTTCACTTATCTTAAAAAACCTGAATCATTTAATTAGTTATAATTATCAGTATTTTAGTCAGAAGCGATATTGTGGAGATTTCAGTATTTTCATAGTTCAAATCATGAGTCAATTGAAGTTAGACCACCATCGAAAACCTGGAAACACTAGACGGCCGTTTCGTCCTATTGAGGGACCGACTCCTCAGCAGTGCGCATCCACGATCTCGCCTCGCGACATTCCAACCCAGGACCTATCAGCCTCGCTCCAGAGCACTTAACCGATAGACAACTGAGCCGGCATCCGATTGTGTTAATGTCTATCTTCAATTAATTCACGAAATTGAGCAACCGTTCACCAATTGTCTTCAGTCAGTTCCTATCTCACAACAGACATGGTTGAACTCCACTGGTGACTGCTTCTCACTAGAACTCCAGGGAATATTTCTTGAAGTCGGTCACTAGTGAGCATATGATTATAATCAGAAGGGCTTTTTGTGGAGATTTCAGTAATTTCATAATTGAAATTACGAGTTGAGTTAAACCTATGGTTTATAAGACTAAATGGTCATAGAAACTAAAAAATTTGTTTTCTGCTATCATTCTTATTTTGATATCGTGATTTCATTGAAAGCACTTTTTTAAAACATGACCAAAATGGTCATTTTGTGAAGCCAAACAGCAGAAACTTCACTCTTTTTTTCTTGTAGAAGGAACTTGCTTCGTTGGAATTAAATTTTAAGCAGTTGTGTAATCCAGTCACCGAAAAAATCAATTCTAGAATATTAGGTACAATTCTAGATCAAAGTAATTTTGGAGGTGAGTGGATCCAACCTTCTACTTTCCACACATTCTTATCCATGTTTCTTAAAAATAGAATTATTAAGTCATACAATTATATAATCATACCGTACTGCTTATTGATGAATATCTCAAACATAAGCATAAACCATAGGTATAATGTATTCCATTCATCGGTTTCGTTGTTAGTAGATTTTTTTAACGTTTGCAATTTCCCACTGTGTTTATTAGGGGTCGATTAAGTATTCAACCAGTAGGGAGTCAGAACCTGTTCCTAACTTAACTTTCTGATACCTAGGATTATTATTAGATTGCTCCATATCAGTTCATGTACAGCTATAATTAAAATTTTATTATGGTTATGAACCCGGCTAAATTTTCCAAAATTCCTGACTTACCTTGGTCAGTAACTTGATTAAAATTAATATTTACTGACTTCATAAGCTGGGGTTGCATTCTAGTGTATCTACATCCAACCTGTTTTAGGTTAAACCTAGTTCATCTAATAGAAAGCGTTATAAAAAGTAATCGCTAGACCTTAGTTGCCAATATTTAAACTCTCTTACTTGTTGAGAGTGACATCATTTACTAGAAACCCTTGAGAAAGCATTAAGCACATTTATCAGAACAAGGTCGTAGATAATCTTCTCTGAAACGTAATTAATCAAGACATAAATGGCTGAACAATTTTAATGAATCAATAAAATCCACGTTTCTCAGAGTAACTAAGGGAAGGTAAATGTCATAAAACATTTGTAAGCATAATTAATATATTACACCAGTAAAAATATATACATTTTGAAATTAATTATCTACATATAGGCATAGTTTATTTGAAAGTACCGTCACGTTGTATCATTCTAGTGTATGAGAGTTTTAACTAAAAGGTAACTTTTAATTCAGTATGGTTCTTTTGAGTTTTATTAGTTACTAACCATAGAATTCCAGAGATTCTTAATACACCTAGAAAAGATGAACTTTGAATTTCACTTCACCATATACAAGCCGGTAATTTTCTTTTCTCATTTTCCTTTTCCAGAATATATGGATGGTTTTACTGAATTTCCCAGTAACTTGTGTAGTAGTTTAATATCTTCAGCATCCGTATCCTTTATAAAAATAAATCATAACACTGGCCATGATTTGATTCGCTTAACAGTTAACAAATTTAGAAATCACAACACAAAATTATCGGTTTTTGAAAATGATTATCTGAAAATGAGGTGGAAAAGTGTAACTGTTTACATTGATGGCAATAAGGAATAGATTTTATTAGATCTATACTTGATCAGTATTAAAGAGGTTCGACTTTACTTTATGAGTTTGTGTAGACATTTATATTTCATAGCATGATGAAAAAACAAAATCTAGTTTAAAACAGTTATTCCTTTTGACTAATTTGTATAATGCAATTAGACGACAAAGTTTGTGAGATCTACATGATATGTGTTATTGCACAATGGGTTTGTAAGCCTTTAGAAACGCACACTATTTCCATAAAAGCGGTTGTGTTAGTTCTCGAAGATTCAGCTGCACACATTAGCACTGTCTCACTTTGATATTGGTTGACATCTGTTTTTAGTTCCATATATTCTTCAACTGTAGAAATTCTGCCCTTACTTTACCAATCCTAGCCTTTACGTCTGCATCAGATCCTCCACGTCTATTGATGATGCTGACCAGTTACGTGGACAATTCCACATGTTCCGGAGCTTCTCCATTAAGTGAGATTGGGTTGATGTTCTGCGTGTTGATTTTGAGGATCTTGCCCTTCCCTTCTTCGACACAACACAACATGCACCGACCAAATCGCATTTGATGGAGAAGCTTTGGAGGATGCAAAACCTTTACATGGCAGCATGATTGGTAAGCACGGTGGATCTGTTGCAGATGTGAAGAGGTGGATCGTTAAAGCATGAGCTATATATCTACAATTGGAGAACATCTGGAACTCGAAACAACTGTTTGTCAACCAACACCGAATTCAGAATTTTCAATAGAAATGACAAGACAATCTTACTGTATGGGGCGGAAACCTGGAGAACTACGAAAGCCATCATCCAGAAGGCACAACTGGATGGAACTAGAAAGGAAGGCGCAGGACAGAGTGGGTTGGGAAATGCTGGTTGTTGGCTTATGCTCCATTGGGGATAACAGGCGTAAGTAAGTAAGTAAGTACCGTTGAACGAAAAACCAAATGAGTAAAAGAATGTAATTTTGTCTAATTATTACCGTCATATTATTTATACATCAAAGTTCTGATATATTTCATTTTTTCATTGTATTATATTTAAACGGCTGCTATTTATTCTTAACAAATACTATGATTTCCAGACAAACTTGACGGGTCAAATTGACTTAGAAGAGTACCTATACCTCTTGATTGATCTTAAGGGATGGACGGTGGGTTTTCAATTCATTATAGTCATAATTAATTATAGTTTATATCAACAATTATAGAATTTTATAAAACTATTTTAGTTAATCAATGAAATATATCTTTTTATGACTGAGTATACTGATTGGCGAAGAGAATTAGATATAAATTATTCAACGATGTTTCATCAGTAAACTGGATCTTATGCAAGTGACATCCATATAGTCATAATTTATTCAATAAAACTCTATGCAGAATAACTTTATCAGGACTGTTTCTTATGATAAACTGAGATAATCATGAATTCTCTTCAGATACTTACAGTATCAATACACAACTATTAATCACTTGAATACTTGTTATATCGAGTGAGTACGTGCCCTGTTTATAATATGACGTGATGATTCCTGTCAATCAGAGAGGAGTGAATTATCGATCAGAGCAATGATACACGAAAGCCGTATAAGCAGTCTTGAGTACTTTATCAGTCCTGCTTTCTGCCTAGCGGAGACAGTTAAGTTCAGAACACCAATAACAGCCTCTGCAATGTGAGTCATTATTCTCAAACATGCTTGGTTTATATACCAATCAAACAGACCACATTAGAACATAAAATAGGAAACAACATTTGTACAAGATTTAGCCGAATGTGGCTGTGAATAGGGGGAAGTGATTAATAGAGTGGGTGTAACTCAGGAATGGTAAATCGCACAGTCGCATAGTCTATAGGTCAGAATAAAGCTCATAATAAAAGGAACATGAATATGAATAATTTACTTAACAATTATACAATAGGAAATATACACATCACATTGGTGCATAAATAGTCCTCAAAAGTTACCACTCATAATTCTCCTCAGTTTTCCAATGCTTTAGTGACCTGGGCCCAAACCATTAAGCTATTTAGCAACTTATTTCATATTTGCAATTACAAATCTATTAACTTCATTTTTTTCCTATGTCTTATCTGAATTTCACTCATTTTAATCCTATTATCAGTTCTTTTAATAGTTGATGTTACATAATCTTCAACATAATCTTTAACATTCATTAAATTAGTCTCTATATTCTTTAAAAAGTTTTCTTCTGGAATATTCACAAAATTATCCTACCAATATTGAACCACAGTACATTCCTTATGTTTCTTGTATGCTTATTGGCCTTTGTGTTAAACCTGGTCGATGACTTTTGTAGATCTTGTCAAATGAATTATCGTAATATATATGTCATAAATAGCTGAGTAGAATTTGTAAAACAAATGAATCCAACTTATTCTGCTTCGTTCGTTCATCTTATTCTGTTTCAGTTGATCATTATGAAAAATTGTATTAAATAACAGGAAAGAGTTTTCATTATTAATCCATCAAATAATCAATAACTATTATTAACAGCTAAGCTGATTTTACTGGATTAAAACCTGCCTTAGTAATCTGTCAAGGAAATGCAATTACTAGTAGATACCTCAAATTGGAATGGCAAGCACTTAGATATTCGTATTCTTGACCAGTGCATTTGATTAGTTTATAGCATGTTAATCCATCTCTAATTACTTACTTAAACATGCTACCAATCGTGAAGGAACTTAGACAGCCCACCAGCATTCTCTATCCGACTCTGTCCTGGACAATCCTTTCCAGTTGTTTCCAGTTCATCCTTTTAATTCCCAAAACGATGTGTTCCTTGGTCTTCCTCTTTTAGTTTTCGTTTCAGGATTCCAAGTTATCGCTTACCTTGTGATGCAGTTTGATGAGTCTCTCAAAGTTTTTCATATCCACCTCCAGTGTGTTTTCCTGATATCCTCTTCATATGGGTGCTGATTTGTTTTTTCCAACAGTAGGCTATTATTAATGGTATCAGGTCGACGGATATTGAGTTTCTTGTGTAGACAACTGTTTATAAATACTCGTACTATTTTGATAGTGGCTGTAGTTTTTGAAGTTTCAGCTCTATACAGTAGAACTGTGTTGACGTTCGTATTCAAGATTCTCTAATTACAACATGATAAATTACAAAGAAGAGCGTCACTATAAATAATCAAAATAGTTATCAATTCATCAAACTGAACACCATGATTTTGTTAATTACGATTCTTACAAACTAGTTCTCTATTGAGTAAATTATTTTAGACAATACAGACAATACTAAATTAAAATAAGCTGGGCACTATATCAACATACTTAACGGTAAATCAAAGCCCCCAAATGCTCTGGTACGGCCGAGAGTGGGGAGAGTCTGCTCTCCCTCTCAAAATGTTCTCATTTGGCCACGCAAATATATAGCCTCTGCCAGGGAAGTACTACTCACCACCTTCTCGTGGCACCGGTGTTGTTCACAAAAGTGAGAGGACGAAAAGCGAATGACCGGCGCTTTAACCGGGTTGGTGGATGTGGAGGATCCACCTAGGGGAGTTGGAAAACCCTGATTCTAAACCAATGGTGCATATGGGCTCCAGTATCCTAAAGGAACGAATGGCGTATGAACCAACTGTTGGTCACCGGCTACCATGGGACTGCATCTCCTCGTGATGCTCCACTGCCTTGTGGACTAGACCTTTATGTCAAAGGCTCCGGATGTGGCCCTCTAAGAAAACCACCTGCTTCAGTCTGGGCACCTGGGCAGTATCACAGCCCTCACACAAATCGAATGAGATTTGTGAGGCGCATATTTATCTGGTGCTTCCTTGTACCAATATTTATGTGTTTAAATAAATAAACGGTAAATCAATGAAACATCAGAACCTGAATTTCGCATCACATTAATCTAACTGGACAAACTTTCGACGGATTAACTTATATGATAGTTATCTACTATTAATGTTTAGTAATTTAATTCATTTCTTAGTTTGTCATTACTAAACTTAATGATTTTATTTAAAATTTCGACATACAGCTTACTTTTAGTAAATATGATGATCGGAAAGGATGTGTGAGTTGGTATAAATTCCGTGAATTATTGAAAAGTTCAGGTAAGAATATTAAAAAACACATGTATTTATTATTGTATTGTTAGTCTTCCAATTTTGATTTATCGGTATGTAAATATCATTATTCACAACTGATTGATCACTGGGTGGTGATCAATTTCATGTGTGTCAGATCCTTCTTAGTGAAAACCGAATCCTATCGACGAAGTTGAAATGTGGCCACTAATGTAGGTGACTCGATATTGAGTGTACTATGTTGAGATAAGGTGGTGGTTTGAGGTAGTCAACAGGAAACCCTGGAACCAGGATCGAAACTGTTAGAGAGCATCAGTTCCCTCAAGATTACAAGTACTTTTTGCTGACGAGTAACAAATAGCGTGGACCCGGGTCCAGGGTTTCCTGTTAATTACCTCCAACCACCATCTTATCTTAAATATCAGTATTAAATAGAGATCAATGCATTAAGTCATAATTTTTATAGTTTATTTAAAAACGTTACGGTTTTTGAATTCACTTAGTATTGTTTGTTTGAATCTTCCCATTGATGTGTTTAGGACTGCAACTGGTCAGTCTCTAACTGGCATATGTGCATACTGTCTGTATGGCCTCGATACTGCCTTAATTCTTAAGCTTTATAAGCAAAGATGGATGGCTAGCCGTAGATTCCAGTTTAATGAGCGTTTCGTCCTATTTGGAACTCGTCAGCTGGATGTACCTGTATGATGTTCACTGTGGGACTCGAGCCAAGTACCTTTCGCTTCAAATGCCATCGCGTTATCCACTCAGCTACTGAGTCCTGATAGCCCATTGCTTGTGCAATGGGGTGAAGTTTGAATTAAATTAGTATTGTTTATTGAATGAGTGATCATCTACTCTGTGATGCAGGTGTATCCAGCTGACGAGTCCCAAATAGGACGAAACGCACGTCCTGGACTCCACTGCTAGCCACTATTCATCTTTGCTTATAGTTACAGTTTTTGTTTGTAAATAGAAGACTTATGCACAAAACTACTATAATTTTAATTTCTAAACAGACAATTCTTATATATTACGATGAATTCTTTCAAACCTACATTTTGCAAACAAACTAACTAGAAATATATCGAAATATAATTTATGAACTTCATAACATTCGTTATTATAGAATTTGGAGCCTAGAAACAATAAAAATTTGTTTCCGGCCTTACTTACTTAAGACTTGATTTACTTGAACTTTGCTCTGTTTCGAAATAGACTCAGTGAAAAATATACAAATCATTAGAATGTCTAAAGTTGAGTTTTGTGTTATATAGCCTAGATACAGATCGTAAAATACTTGTGAAATATAGATTTAGTTACTTAGCAGTTATGCAATAAGAATATATATATGCAATAACAGCTTATAAATAGATTCCAAAAGTTACCCATAATTTAATCTTCTTCCGATCTAACAGAGATCATTGATAACCATTATGAGAACTAATTTAAATTCATATTAAGTAAAGTAATTAATTATTGACTTGACAATAAATAACAAATGAGGTGACGTATTAATCAAGGGGTAAGGAAGAGAATAATTTATGGGTCAGATAATAGTCCAATTGACAGATATTATTATTATGACCTTTGTGTTTGTCACTTTTCTTCATATCTCATTATTATAATCATGATTATAATCATATGCTCACTAGTGACTGTCTCCATGAGGCATTTCCTGGAGTTCTAGTGAGAAGCAGTAACCAGTGGAGTTCAACCACGTCTGTTGTGAGATAGGAACTCACTGAAGACAATTGGTGAATGGTTGCTCAACTTCGTGGATCAGTTGAAGTTAGACATTAACACCGTTGGATGCCAGCTCAGTGGTCTATCGGTTAAGGGCTTCGGCTCGAGACTGGTAGGCCCTGTGTTCGAATCTCGCCCGCGAGAGTGGGTTCGTGGATGCGCACTGCTGGGGAGTCCCATAATAGGACGAAACGGCCGTCCAGTGTTTCCAGGTTTTCGATGGTGGTCTAGCTTCAATTGACTCATGATTTCAACTTTGAAAAATACTGAAATCTCCACAAATCCCCTTCTGAATATATTTGGATTGTTTGTTGACCACTTCGAAGACACTTATTTCATTTTTGCTATGATTATTATATATCAGGTGATGTGCTATCAAACTACGAAAGTTCTTTTGTACTTTGTGGTGTATATTCAAGGTAATATACCGAGTGAAACGATTAGAAGCTTGTCTTTTATAATCATGATTTCGAAATGACGGGGTGGTGTAGCGTAAAACTGGTTAACAATATCAACTAGCCAACCGTTTATCTTTACTTAATGGCATCAACTCAGATACTAGTTGGGAAATTAATTACTCGAAAATCCAGAGAGACCGTCATTGATTAAAAGAAATATAAACTTAAAAATTAACGGAGTTGTAATTTGTGAAGTACACTAGATTGTATGTGGTAGCTGATATACATAAATTACATTGAATTCCAGTCATGAGATATAGAATGAATATGGAAGATTTACTACTCCAAATGGACAGTCAAAAACTCAACTATACAATCGATGATTTTAATTGTAGATAGACTTCTACCTAATGTCCGATAAGTTAGAAAGCAGAGGCAGTAATCAATAAATTGAGTTTGTAAGACTATTATTATCTAAATAATGATTAGATATTCTATCCATTAAGGTGCGTGGTCATCATTTCCAACAATTTAGTTACTTATGTCATGAATCTAGCCAGGAATTCTTCGAATGAATTAGACCTACTTCATATCATTTCCAAACTATTTTTAAAATATTTTTCCAGCATTGATACTTCTTATAAATTGCTGATCACGAAAAAATGATAACTAATTATAATACCTCATAAATTTTCCAATTTCTCAAATAGGTTACAAAGTCAGTAATCGAGTTTTCAGTGTTTTGGCACATCGACATATAGATCACAAACGGGGTCATATTAGCTTTGAAAGCTATCTGCATTGTATGGCAAACCTTAAATTTGCCTTTGATGTCACCTCGTACCATCCAAAAAGCGATAAGAATATTCTAATGTTTAATAAAGAAGATGTAAGTTTTTCTACATCAAAATTTCATCTCATTGAGGTTAAAATGTTCCTTATTGATGGAGATTCCAATTTTTCGGCTTATTGTTGTTAATCTGACTTTTTCTCAGTTAGTGATTCCTATCGTTATTATACGTTTGTAATAAGAAAATTTTTGATTGCCTGATATTTATCATCGGTATAATGTTGAATCATCATAGTGGCATATCATACATTTTTAATGAAAAAATTCTAGATTATTATGTGATTAACTGTTATACGTGATGCAGTCAAGTTATCGAAATTCCAGTCTATCCTTGTCAGCATTTATTTACATACCATCTTCGTAATAACTTCCTACTCATATATTTTAATCTTAAAGAATGTCACTACACCCAAGTATGAGAACATGGAGAAGAAAATATTGACTTACCATGGATCTTTTATAATATTTTAAAAGCAATAACTGGTCATAAATATTTAATTGACTAGAAAAGAACGTAAAGAATGTAGGTTCGGGGGAATGCAGTAACCTTTTTATCTACGCTTAGAAATAAATAAGTAAAGTCGTATTATTATAATTTTACAATGCATTTAGATAGTTCTTCACGGAATTGTTACCGGTCTGTTCAGAGCAGAAGGGCTGTATATCACATTAATTTAATACTGTCTCATCAATTGGATTATTGCATGTGTATTGTGATCAATTTAATCAAACAGTTTCATGCTAAGAAACTTTCCTTCCAGCAGTCAGTTTACATAGTAAACAAACATGCTCTCTTCCGAATATAATAAGATATCAAAGTTACTAAGTCCCTTCTGAAATCCCGTAGTCCTTCAGCTAACCTTTGTTCAACATGTTTTGCAATTCAGAAACAATTAATGATAAACAGCAAAGGCATTTTCATTGTTGAAATTATGATTCAATTGAAGCTAGACCACCATCGAAAATCTGGAAGCACTGGATAGTCGTTCCGTCCTACTATGAGACTCCTCAGCAGTGCGCATCCACGATCCCGCCTCATGGTATTTGAACCCAGGACCTACAAGTCTCGCGCCAGAGCACTCAACCTCTAGACCACTGAACCGGCATCCAACGGTGTTAATGTCTAACTTCAACCAATCCACGAAGTTTGAGCAACCGTTCACTAATTGTCTTCAGTGAGTTAATATCTCAACAACAGACGTGGTTGAAGACATTACCAAACCACAAAAAAATGTCAATATTTTCCAACACTTCCTATTTCATTTCAGAGTGTTTTTAATTTTCAGATATTCGTGTATCATATTTCTATAAAATGATGCTTTATGAATAATAAATGTTTTTCTCTTTTTTTATTATTTATTTGAAACCATAGTATCTACGTCTATCTCTTTCTACATAAACTATGATATACTACTGGGAATTCATAATAACTGGGACATAAATATTAATCCGATTAACTAAATAATTTAATCACTATGTAAATCAACTATGTTGATTCGTTTCACTAGTGTTTTTTTTGGGGGGGGGGATTTTTTGTAATAGTTAATAAAATGTTTGTTTGCTTGTTTGTTTTTATTGACCATTTTAACATGACTATTAACTCTGTTACATAAATAAAAATGAGTGAAATTATACAAGCATGTGTATCATTTTTCAATTTGTATTAATTTTGATATTAGCTATGATAGTCATACAATAAGGATTTGCACTAAGTATAGTCATATTCAACCATTCGTCTATATCATAAACAATATAGTAATCTTTTAGAATATCACTTTGATGAATGGATCATATAAATCCAGTTCTTGTCAATATCTTCTGAAAATTGATATGAATTTGGGAAGAAAAGGGATAATTAAGTAGATTTAAACTGTTGGCTTCTAAATCATCGTGATAAAATTCCATTGTCTGAATAAAGAATAATACTTGTCGAATAGATTTTAAACTTCTTACGTCAACGAACATTGTATCTGACTATTATGAAAGATTGGGTTAGAGATGGAACTCAGACCAACTGTCAACTAACTTCAAAGTGAGAATCCTCAACACGAACGTCAAGATAGTTAGTTCTACTGTTCGGAGTTGAAACGTGAAGAACTACCGCATTCATCGTCAAGAAAGTACAAGTATTTATAAACAGTTGTCTACGCAAAATACTCAACATTCACTGACCGGATACTATCAGCAACAGCGTTTTATGGGAGAGGACAAACCAGCTTCCATCTGAAGAGGAAATTAGGAAAAGACATTGGAAGTGGATAGGACATATATTAAGGAAATCACCAAACTGCATCACGAGGCAATCCCTAACTTGGAATGGTGAGGGGAAGCGGAAAAGTGGAAGGCCAAATAACATATTACGCCGGAAGATGGAACCAAATATGAAAAGGACGAATGTTAACCTGAAAGAACTGTAAAGGATTGCCCAGGACAGGGTTCAATGGAGAATACTAGTGTGCGGCCTATGTTCCTCCACGAGGGGAAACAGGCGTAAGTAAGTAAGTAATTAAGTAAGTAGAGATGCTTATACATAATACTGATTGTTTTGCTGTATTTTTATGTCAAAATCTAAAGATAGACAGAACGATTAACTGAATTTTGACTGGGTTACTAAATTACATATACTAAAATATTCAACATGGTTTAAATCGATAAATCAATCAGCAATTCTAAATTAAGATTGTTAAACTTTATAGTCCGAACTAAAACATACGTAAAAATCCACAAATAATTCCTTTTCAGTTTTATTATACATAAACAACTAGCTTTTCATGAATAAATAAGAAATAATTGAGTAATTACAAAATAGAATAACACTGATTAGAGAATAACATATGAAACTTATCAACACAATTAAAACAGTTCGCTAATTATTAATGGTAATTAAACGGACTACTTAATTAATCGTAATAAGTAAAAGGCACAAATGGACAGGTGAAAAGTTTAGTACTAATTCCAAGTATAATTAAGATCATGAAAAAATGGACATATATTTTGACACAGGAATTGAACCAAAACATCGGGAAATAAACTTACCAAGAATATTCAATAACAATTCAAATAACAATCTATGATTTTCACATTGTTATGGTCAGCATATTTTTAGTCTTAGGATTTAAACTACTCATAAGTAAGCTAGTGTTCAAACTTCAATTTTCACAAAGTGGATAGATTGTCTGTGTTTAATTAAAGCAAACTATTTCTATCCATAAACAAAGTTGGATACTGGCTAGCAGTGGAATCCAGGACGCACTGTCTAAGTGGAAAGTGTGATGGCATTTGAAGCGAACAGCACTGGGTTTAATTCCCAGAGTGAACGTTCAGCTGACGAGTCCCAAATAGGATACACACGTCCTGGATTCCACTGCCAGCTACTATTCATCTTTGCTTATAATTCTTGTGAATTAAGTCACTATCAAGGCAATTTGCACAAAATGTACATATGCTAATAAGAGACTGATCAATTTCAGTCCTAAACATCAATGGGAAGATTAAAGTAAACTATCAAGTGAATTTATTTCTGTCCATGCTTTATGAATTCTTGTGGACTTAATCATGAAAAGATATTTGACCACTGTTAGTCTAATGTTTTCGCCTACAGCATGATAACCAAACAAAATATGAACTTTCTATCAATCTTTCCTAGGAACCCATATAAAATTCGTGCAATGTTGTTCCAATGACTCAGATTAAACAAAATTGTATTCGCCTGCAATATTCGTTGAAATGCTAAATCTTACTGGATTGTGATGTTTTCGGCAAAATGAAAAATTTTGTCAGACACACAATTACAAAACATCACAGTACAAAGTCTATAAAATGATTAATTTTTTAGTCGTAAAGGGAACTTAATTTATAACGATCGGCCTTTAAACCGAAAAAAAAGTTATATCCGAACAAAATAATGAATCACAACTTAACCTCCACATAGAATATTTGGTGGTAGGGAGAGAAAAAGGTTTCCTAATCTGAATGGCAATTATTTTGTTTTCACAGTTTCAATTACAAGCTGACCTTAGCTAAACCTGAAAGCATAGAACGACCACTTTGTTATAGTATAGGTCTACCTAACATCTCCAAAAATGTTCCATATTAATTTTTTTATTACTCATTTATGTAACTAATCCCTTTTGCTTAATCCAATTGTAATCGTTAAATTACTTGCAATTGAATGAGGTTCTAACGAAACAGTTGGTATCCGATCTTAAACAGGTGTTTCCTCGAAACATGAAGTTCAATTAGATAAATTAGGTTGAAAACAAATGTGCGATGAGTGCCCAGTAAATTGTCTACTTATACAGGAAATAAAATAAATCAAACGAAACTAGATTGTTAAAATCCAAAAGATGAGAAAATATCTACAATTTATAACCAAATAACTATATGACTGTTAAATAATCCAAGGTAAGGAAAAATAGGGAATCTCTTTCTTTTAATGCCGTACTCAGTTAATTTAATTCGTAACGGAATCGCTTCTGATGTTTAAACGATTTGTAATCTAACTGCTTTGGCAAATAACTCTTAACATGATACACTATTGTTTGTCTGAATCAGCTTGGGTAAAGTAGAATAATAAGATAAGATGGTGGTTGGAGGTGGTCAACAGGAAACCTTGAACTTGGATTTCGTGCTACTTGGCACTCGTCAGCAAGGTGTACTTGTACTGGTGCTCCCTGACGGATTTGATCCCGTAGAACAATCTTAAGTGCATTAAATTTAATATGATATCCTAGTTACTTGAAAATTTTTTGGGATGAATTATTATCCATATGATGATAAATAATATATTGTCAAAGTAACTACAACATATATACCAATTTACAGGCATGATCAGGTTGATACATGAATCAATGTTACGTATAAAACAAAAGACTTATGATTTGAAATTGTTTGCAGTGGTGAAGTTTAGAAATTGTTTCGGGAGTAAATCAATTACCTGGGTTACAATAATGTAATACATCAGTTAAGAATCATTAATTCTTGCAGTCAATCAGTCAATCACAACTTGGGACGTGTACGTATGTACATCAGTTCAAGCTGGCACACTCCACTAACACTGGTAAATGAAATTGTCAAGCCAAATTCCAGAATAATATATGTACTAAAGGTATGAGTAGTGATAGAAGAGAATAGGCATCAAAGGTACGATTCAAGAAAGCATAAGTTAGCGATATTAAAACAAAAAATTATAAAGAAGAATTTAAAATCCTAGAATTTAAAGGAAGATAAAGAACGAGTGCACCTGCACCATTCCAAACGATTTTGAGTCATATCATTCAAAGTCTTTAACCATTGATTACGTCATTTATGCAGGTCCAAACCTGGCAGTTTATATTTATTAACACGGCTAAGTCGAATTGTAAGTGACTTCATGGATTGATGTCGTGTTTTAGTTTGGCTACCTCCAAAGGTTTTTCGCCCTGCTCCTGCATTAGGAAACATTGCCTGTCGAGATAGGAAGTGGTTGAGTATACGCAACACATATCCTGACATCCTCAGTTGATGAAGATTTACTACCTCATCAACTAATTTGCTGTCTCTACCTAGTATTTTAATTCTAGCCCCCTGGATCGCCTACTTTGTGGTCCCGAAATACACGAACACTATGTCGCAAAGACCTCTGATTGAACACCAATAACCTGAGAATATCCTCTACTCTTAAGAATCATGCTTCACATTCCATAAAGTAGAACGGATCGAAGTGCTGTACAGTAATCTCACCCTTTGGTTAGGTAACGGATATCTTGCCTACGCTATAAGTGACACGATTTGGCAAAAGTCAGTAGAACCTTCTGAATCTGCTCCAAAATTTCGTCAGACACCAGATCACCAGTACCGATGAGAATCCCAAGATCAGTGAAGCAGTCGGTGTGTTTAACTACTTCACTGCCATCACAAATCCAGGTGGTGGCGCAATCTGATCCTTATGTTACATTTTAAATTTGCAGTTTGAGAGCCTCATCCCAAACATGTCTGTGTTGTTTCCTAAAGTGGTCAGAAAACCGCTTTTTTTCAGCGTCTTCAACAAACAACTGAATCATCTGCATAACAAGTGAATCTCCTGGTAAATAAACTCCTGAAAAGTCAGAAGATGAAAGTGTTATCTAAGTGCTTGTCTATCATAAAGTTAAGTAAAAAAAATGGCGAAAGCGAAAGACCTTGACTAACACCACTTGAAGCGACCAATTACTATGATAATTAACCATACGATTTGACTCGAGCAAAACAGTTTACGGGGAGAGAGCCTACACTAAGTTAACGTACTTCTTTGTTACGCCTTTCTATGACAGTCACTGCCATGGAACCTCACGACTAATAGAGTTGAATGTCGTCTTAAGATCAAGGAACACAAATATAGTTAGACGTCGTAAAGCATGTCTGTGTCTCAGGATCTGCCTC